GCATACTATTCCTGAGAATATACCCCAACAGTAAATAATAATAATAAAAATCTCTTCAAATAATTATATTTGGGCCAAAAAAAATTATTCCAATTTTAAAACTTGCATAAGCAAATACAAAGATTGATTTTAAAGAGAAAGGATTTATCTAATACAGTATCTTCCACCCTCCCTGCTTTATTAGGTATTTCAAGTAAACGAGACAAAACAAAAACCCATGTACAAAGGGTTTGCCCTAAGACATTATACCCACAAAGCATTTCTTTAAAAAAATTCTAGCTTGACATCATAACCCTTTATGAGACTTACAGTGCAAACTGCATTTCTCTTGGATGTCAGCTTTACCCACCTATTAGTGCAAATGTAGCTCCTTCACGTGTATACAAGGAACACCTAAAATGTGCTACATGGCAGATAAGCTGCATCCAGGAAAAAAAAAAAGTATCTTACGGTGGGTGGGAAGGGACTGGGATTTCAAAATGTAGAACAGATAAAGAAGACTGTACTGTGTAGCACAGGGAAATATATACAGGATCTTGTGGTGGCTCACAGCAAAAGAGAATGTGACAATGAATGTATGTATGTTCATATATAACTGAAAAATTGTGCTCTATGCTGGAATTTGACACAACATTGTAAAATGACTATAACTCAATAAAAAAGTTTAAAAACAAAATCCCAAGCAACAGGGATTTCCCCCACCCTTATTTAAAAATCTCAGCAGGCTATAAACAGTTAATAATAAACAAAATAGATGTAAACTTTTAAAGTTAATTTTTCTATTGTCTGTTCATTTTTTGCTCTGGGATTTCTGCCCATTTTCTGAAAATACAGCAGCAATCTGATTCAGTGGGATGATTTGGAGCCAACTTACCAGAAACGAACCAAACATACCTTCAGGCCACAAAAGAAGAACAATCAAATTTCCGAAATAGAACATTTAAAGAACTTGAACTGTTTATCTTTAAAACACAAAGAAAATAACTGGATCGCCACACACAAATACACAGATTCAATTCTACACACACATATGCAAACACACACATGCAGACACACATACCACTACAGTTAAATCACATTAAAAAGACTTTAACAGAAAATCCCACAGCCGGGAGGTTTGGGGATCAAGTTACCTGCTGCATCTTCTTGTACTCGCCCACTCTGGCATAGGCCATGAAGAGGTGAGAGTGATACTCCTCACTGTTGGGAACTTTCTTCACAGCTGCCTCATAAAGTTTTGTGACTAACTCCGCTAAGACAAAGAGATATAGGATTTTCTCTAATTATTGAAGTAAAACAAATCTTAACAGCATATAATTTTTTTTTCCTATTTGGAGGAAACAGGTGTCTCCTATAATCAAGGAAGAAGACAGTATTTGCTTTGCCTCATCTGATCATTACTCTTCTCTTGCTTAAGTGTTACTCGATGAAGCACAGAATAGGTCAGACCTCCCCTTCACATTTACAACGTACAAGACCTTCTAGGATCTATCCAGCCTCTGTCTTCTTCCGAACTCCCCACAGCATTTTATGCTCCAGCCACATCAGACTGTAGTTCCACTAGATTCCCAGTGATGTATGTCTTTACAGTGCTCCCTCTGCCTGGTTTCCTCTTTCCTCTCTTTTCTACTTAGTGAACATCATCCAAGACCCAGTTCAAATGTAATCCTTCCCTGAACACCATCTCTGCTCCTCCACCCCAGTCTGATCACTGCTTCCTTCTGCCATCTTGAAATCTTTTAAGTAACTGTCTTATACAATTTATTAATACATAATGCAATATTGACCTACTTTTCCTTATAGACTATGAGTAACATGAGAGCAGAAAGGACACCCTTCATCTGTGACTTTGATATAATACTTGTCATATAGAAACATTCCACCAATACTTGTAGGACAGATAAATGATTCTTTTAAACACTGGGAGAGAATCCATATCCTAAATCAACATAATCCCTAAATAATCAGATATAATATCTCAAATCTTAAATTTTATCTTTTATAATAATGAAAAACAAAATTGAACTAAAATATTACATTTTCTGCCCACTAGGTTGGCAAAAGTTTTATTTTATTTTTTCCAGTTTTATTGAGAAACAATTGACAAAAACTGTGTATATGAAGAAGGACAACGTGATGGTTTGATGAAAAAATTTTAAAGTCTAAGAATACCAACAACAAGGATGTGGAGCAATCAAAACTCTTATACACTGCTAGTGGGAGGGTAAATCTAGAAAACAAGTTGACATCATGTTTATCTCTAAGCTAAACATGTAAATACCTTATGACCCAGCACCTCCGCTCCTAGATTCTTATGTAGTCACTCAACGAAGTATTTTGTGGAAGTAAAAATGAATTAAGTACAACCACTTGGCTATCAGATGAAAAGTGCAAGTCACAGAACATATATAGAATGAATGTATTTATATTAAGTTCAAAAATAAGCAAAACTAATAATATTACTTAGAAAAACAAAAGTGATAAAGATTTAAAGAAAAGCAAGAGAATTATTCAAGAAATGCAAATGGAAACTACAATGAGGTTATCACCTCACACCTGTCAGAATGGCCATCATTAAGAAGTCCACAAATAATAAATGCTGGAGAGGATGTCAAGAAAAGGGACCCCTCCTACACTGTTGGTGGGAATGTAGTTTCGTGCAGCCACTATGGAAAACTGTATAGCGATTCCTCAAAAATCTAAAAATAGACTTACCATATGATCCAGCAATCTCCCTCCTGGGCATATACCCAGAGAAAACTCTAATTCAAAAAGATACATGCAGTGTTCACAGCAGTACTATTTACAATAGCCAAGACACGGAAGCAACCTAAATATCCTTTGACAGATGACTGGACAAAGAAGTTGTGGTATATATAAAGAATGGAATACTACTCAGCTACAAAAAAGAATAAAATAGCACCATTTGCAGCAACATAGATGGACCTGGAGATTGTCATACTAAGTGAAGCCAGAAAGAGAAGAAAAATACCATATGATATCACCCATATGTGGATACTAAAAAAAATGACACAAATGAACTTATTTACAAATCAGAAATAGACTCACAGACATAGAAAACAAACTTATGGTTACCAAGAGGGAAAGAGGGGGCTGGAAGGATAAATTGGGTGTTTGGGATTTGCATATACTAACTACTACATATAAAAGAGATAAACAACAAGGTCCTAGTGTACAGCACAGGAAACCACATTCAATATCTTGTTATAGCCTATAATGAAAAAGAATATGAAAAGGAATATATATATATGTATAACTGAATTACTATGCTGTACATCAGAAATTAACACAACATTGCAAACCAACTATACTTCAATTTAAAAAATAAAATAAAACAAAGAAAAGCAAGAGAATAAAAAATACTCAGGTTAACAAGTATCTCTTAAGAAGTGCAGGGAGAAATGAGAACGAGGAAGAAAACATAGGAAGCCTTCTTAGTACAGGCAAACCTTGCTTTACTGCACTTCGCTTTATTGTGCTTTGCAGATACTGTGTTTTTGAAGGTTTGTGGCATCCTGAGTCTAAGCCAAGCCTATCGGCACCATTTTTCCAACAGCATGTGCTCACTTTGTATCTGTTACATTTTGGTAATTCTCATGATATTTCAAATTTTTCATTATTATATAAGACCTCAAACTTAATAAAAAAAAAAGTGTGTGTTCTGACAGCTCCACTAAACGGCCATTTCCCTGTCTCTCTCCCTCTCCTTCAGCCTCCCTATTCCTTAAGACACAATATTGAAAGTAGGCCAGTTAATAACCCTACAATGGCTTCTAAGTGTTCAAGTAAAAGTTAAAGTCACAAGTCTGACATTTTAAATCAAAAGCTACAAATAATTAAACAGGGTGAAGAAGGCATTTATTTAAAGCCAAGATAGGCCAAAAGCTGGGCCTCTTGTGCTAGTTAGCCAAGTTGTAAATGCAAAGGAAAAATTCTTGAAGGAAATTAAAAGTACAGTGAACACACAAATGATAAGAAAGTGAAACAGCCTTATTACAGATATAGAGAAGTTTGAGTGGTCTGGAAAGAAGATCAAACCGCCCACAATATTCCCTTAAGCCAAAGCCTAACCCAGAGCAAGACCTTAACTGTCAATTCCATGAAGGCTGAGAGAAGTGAGGAAGCTGTAGAAGAAAAGTTTGAAGCTAGCAGAGGTTGGCTTATGAGGTTTAATAAGAAACCATCTCCATAACAGCGAAGTGCAAGGCAAAGCATCAAGTGCAGTTGGAGAAGCTGTAGCAAGTTAGCCAGAAGATCTAGCTAAGATAATTAATAAATGTGGCTACACTAAACAACAGATTTTCAATGTAGATGAAACAATGTTAAACAATGTAAGAAGATACTTCCTAGGAGTTTCATAGCTAGAGAAGTCAATTCCTGGCTTCAAAGCTCAAAAGACAGGCTGACTCTCTTGTTAGGGGCTAATGCAGCTGGTGACTTGAAGTTGAAGCCAGTGCTCATTTACCATTCCGAAAATCCTAAGGCCCTTAAGGCCATATGGCCCTGTGATATGATTCTTAAGAATTATGCTCAATCCACTCAGCCTGTGCTCTATAAGTGGAATAACAAAGCAAACAAATAACAAATAAAAATAACAAAATAACAGCACATCTGTTTGACACCATGGTTTACTAAATGTTTTAAGCCCACTGTTGAGAACTACTGCTCAGGAAAGATTCCTTTCAAATATTACCACTCATTGACAATGTACTGGGTCACCCAAGAGCCCTGATGGAGATGCACAACGAGATTAATGTTGTCTTCATGCCTGATAACACAACACCTATTCTGCAGCCCACGGATCTAACTTTGACTTTCAAGTCTTTAAGAAATACATTTCCCAGGCAAGAGAGTATAGCTCAAGTGGTAGAGCGTATGCTTAGTATGCATGAGGTCCTGGGTTCAATCCCCAGTACCTCCTCTAAGAATAAATAAATAAATCTATCTTCCCCCACAAAAAAGAAAAAAGAAAAAAAGAAATACATTTCCCTTTGGAAGCAGCAATACATCCGTAACATGCTACATTAAAAAAGGAATTCTCGGGGCTGCCAACTTTACAGTAGAGACTGAGTAGCAGTATATTTCTCCTACATTAAAAAATAAAACAAACAAACAAAAAGATTTCATAAGGCTATAGCTGCCATATATAGTGATTCCTCTGATGGATCTGAGCAAAGTAAATTGAAAACTTTTTGGAAAGGTTCACCATTCTATATGCCATTAAGAATATTTGTGATTTATGGGAAGAGGTCAAAATATCAATATTAACAGGAGTTTGAGAGAAATTGATTCCGCCTCTCATGGATGACTTTGAGGAGTTCAAGACTTCAGAGGAGAAAGTCACTGAAGATGTGGTGGAAATAGCAAGAGAGCTAGAATTAGAGGTGGTGCCTGAAGATGGGACTGACTTGCTGCAATCTCATGATAAAATTTGAACAGATAAGAAGTTGCTTCTTATGGATGAACAAAGTGATTTATTGAGATGGAATCTACTCCTGGTGAAGATGCAGTGTAGATTGTTCACATGACAACAAAGGACTTAGTATATTATATAAACTCAGTTGATAAAGCAGCAGGGTTTGAGAGAATTGACTCCAATTTTGAAAGAAGTTCTACTGTGGGTGAAATGCTATCAAACAGCATTACATGTTTTGCTACAGAGAAACTTTTCATGAAAGGAAGAGCCAATTGATGCAGCAAACTTTACTGTTGTCTTATTTTAAGAAACTGCCACAGCCACTACCCTCTAATCAACCAGCAGCCATCAACATCAAGGCAAGACCCTCCACCAGCAAAAAGATTATGACTCATGAAGGCTAAGATGATGGTTACCATTTTTTTAGCAATCAAGTATTTTTAAATTAAGATATATACATTGTTTTTTTAGCCATAATACTACTACACACTTAACAAACTACCGTATAGTGTAAATATAACTTTTACAAGCAATGGGAAGCCAAAAAATTAGTCTGACTCACTTAATTGCAATATTTGCTTTATTTTGGTGGTTTAGAGCCAAACCCACAATATCTCGTAGACATGCCTGTATGATAATGTTATATTTCTTAACTTGGGTGGTAGGTTTATGAATGTTCATTTATTCCACATCAAATGTTCTAGTGTGTTACATAAAATATATTATTCTATAATATATATTATTAAAAATATGTATTTCATAATAAACATTTAAGAAATTAACAATAAAAAACTTTATTTACAGATGACACTGTAAACAGACTATCTAGAATATGCTTAGAAATAATCTGGCAGGCAGAGGGGTATACATTAAATTGACCACGGGTCTATAACTGCTGAAGGTGGGTAATGGGTACAATGGGATTTATTATACTATTCTCTGTTTTAGTCTATGGCTGAAATTTTCCATATTAAAAAGTGGGGGGAAAGGCAACACTTTCATTTAGCAAATCAAAATGTCATAAATGAAATTCAAGTCCTTATTCCATTTCAAGGATCCAAGTATATGTAAAATATCCTTTCTGTCTACAGTCTTTGCAAGCCATGGTTAATGCATTATTTCACCTGTTGCCATCCACTCAAATCATGAGTGAAAAGTAAATCAGACAAATAGACAAGCCAATTAGAAATATCCAAAAAATTAAGCTCAGGTTTAAAAACAATGAAAAGAGAAACGTACGTCGATGCATCTCCCGGTAAAGAATAGTCAGTGCCTGCAGTGAGTTGTCATCTGTGGGTTCAAGAGCTGCCACCTCCTGTGCCAAGATGAAGGCCTCCTCTTGCTTTCCAGTTCTCTGTAAACCAATTGCCTTTAAAACCTGATAGAAAGAAAAGACAAATCAGTTTTTAAAAGAAAAGGAAATACGGACCAAAGAAAGCCAATTTGAAAACACTAAATAAGTTGTAAGGTATGCCAAGGTTGTGAATCAACTAAATCATATTACTAAAAATATCAGCGAATAAAGACTCTTTCCTACTTCAGTCAAATTAAGAATGCACAAAAACAAAAAAAAAAGAATGCACAAAACAGAAAGAATGCACAACATTGCTTAACTCAAAGAGTTAAATTTAACTCTGTGAAAATAAAATATTTAAATTAGGTAAGGCATGTCCAAAGAAGTAAGCAGTAGCTTTTATGTAAATACTATTTACAGCATTTAAGTAATCAGGAAAACAAGTAGCCTAAAAAATACTCTGAAAAAACAGATAGTCACCAAAAAGATTAATTAAAAATCTTTCCCTTTATAGACTGCAATATATAACACACCAAATACAAGTAACTTAAGGGCAAATGAGCTTACCTTAGCACAATGAAGATCCTTATGCTTTTTCAACAATTTATCTGCTTGCTGAATTGCCATTTTATTATTACCATTATCAAGATAATCTATGAAAACAGAAATTATGGCAGTTATTATATTCCTTCACCAACAAATATGAAAAATGCATAGGCTAGTATCAGATGTTTCAGAAAGAATCTTAATTCGGTATTAGAAGCATCATGGAGTTGATCTGAACTTTAAATGGCTAGGATGGTCCAGAATATAATCTTATATTCTTATCTCTCATTCAAAAGCAATATAATCCAGTTACACTAGTCCTTAACAAAGATTCAAGACCAAATATATTTAGATGATAGATGATATTAATATTTTTACCTATGGGAAACTAATGGGTTTGGTCACATAAAAAATTTTTTTTCTATTTTTAAAAAGAACCCTTTCTTATATTCAAGCTTCAAATTACCAAATGGACCATGTTCCTTCAATAAAATGTTTAATGAGTACTTGCTGTGCCACAGAGTTAAGAATAATTCATTGAAGAAAAAATAAGAGGATTTCCCCCATAAGAAGGGAATGGGGGTGGGGGATGAAGTCCAGCAGTATCAAGAATGAGCAAGGATGGGGGGAGGGTATAGGTCAGTGGTAGAGCGCATGCTTAGTATACACAAGGTCCTGGGTTCAATCCTCAGTACCTTCCATAAAAATAAATCAGTTTATAAATAAACCTAATTACCCTCCCCCGACCCAGAAAAAAGAGTGGGCAAGGATATAGGGAAAACAGCACCAGCATACACTCTGGTTGAAATAGAAACTAGCACTGACTTTGAAGAAAACTCGACTTCTAGGTTCCCTATGCATCCATTCAAATTTATAGCAAGTGAAGACTTGCTATAAAATTGTATTAAGGAAGAAAAGTAATCAACTATTATTCAAATTCTAAAAAAAAGGCAAAGATTCCAGATGAGAAGATCTAAAAGAAAATGAGCAGTGTTTTAAATGGGAAACAGTGGTAGCTGTCAATTCTAATTATAGAAAGATGACTAAACACAGACCAGTCCACAACCTACTACCAGGTTCTTCTTTGCTCATCAAGGTCCCAAATCAGCACAGGGACATACAAAGCACAAACAACTTAAATTAATCTATTGACCAAATGCTGGTGAGAACATGCAGCAAGAGCAACTCTCATTCCCTGCTTATAGGAATACAAAATGGCACAGCCACTTTGGAAGACTGTTTGGCAGTTTCTTTAAAAACTAAACATACTCAGAGGGGAGGGTATAGCTTAAGTGGCAGAGTGCATGCTTACCATATACAGGGTCCTGGGTTCGATCCCCAGTACCTCCTCTAAAAATAAGTAAGTAAACCTAATTACCTTCCCGCCCTCCCAAAAAAACAAAAAACAAACAAAAAAAAGATTAAACATACTCTAACCATATGATCCAGCAATCTTGCTCCTTGTTATCAACCCAAATGAGTTGAAAACCTTTCACACAAAAAAAATCTGCACACAAATGTTTACAGCAGCTTTATTCATAATTGTCAAAACTTGGAGGGAACCAAGATGTCCTTCAAAAGGCAAATGGATAAACAAACTGTGGTATATCCATCCATACACTGGAATATTATTCAGTGATAAAAAGAAATGAGCTATCAAGCCAACAAGAAAACATGGAGGAAACTTAAATGCATACTGCTAAGTGAAAGAAGCCAATCTGAGAAAGCTTAACCATCTGAGAAAGCATAACATTCTGGAAAGGCAAAAATTATAGGCACAGTAGAACAATCAGTATTTGCCAGAAGCTGGGGAAGGGATAAACAGGTGGAGAAAAGAGGACTTTTTAAGGCAGTGAAACTATTCTGTATGATACTCTAACGTGGATACATGTCATCAGATACTTGTCAAAACCCATAGAATGCATAACACAGAATCAACCTTCATGTAAACCAGTAAACTATGGAATTTAGTTAATAATAACATATCATATTGGCTCAGCAACTGTAACAAATGCACCACTGACGCAGATGTCAATAATAGGGGAAACATGGTGGGGAGGGGTGTAGGAACTCTTTCTATTTTCCATTTTGTAAACCTAACCTAAAACTGCTCTAAAAAATAAAGTCTATTTATTTAAAAATATGTATAATAAAAGCAAAGATTCATTTCTAGAAAAGTGAAAAGGGTTATATGTGGGAAATAGGGTGGTAGCTGTTGATTCGAAATATAGAAAGATGAATGAACACAGGCTAGTTCACAATCTACTACAACTACTGGTCCCTCTTTGCTCATCAAGGTCCCAAGTTAGCAACAGGGACAGAGGCAGCATAGACAACTCAAAATGCTTTATGGCCCTGTCACACTATCATTTTACCTAATGGTTTCAATTTTTCTCCAATGAAAACTTTACCAAAACTTTTAACATACAGCCACATGGACACATGAGTTTCATCTCTTTAGTCTTTTTCAATGCACTGAATGTTGATGAGCACCAGTAAGGTTAGGTAAAAAGATTAAGAAAACTTACTCTAGAGGAAATCACAATCTAGAAGAGATCAATACTCAGGTAGAGAGACTGAAGACTCACAGAAATCTAAAAGCACACAATCTTGGCCTGAACACCTAAATATCTGATACCAGTTTTCTTAAACTCTTAACTCACCTGATAGGCCATCATTTGTCTTACAGAGTATCTGACAGAGATATTTCAGCTCAATAAATGGTATCTTCTCTTCCTAAAACTTGGTGCTGATCTCATTCTGAGTGCGTTCTAAGTTACTTCTGACTCAGTACTGTAAGACTGCAGGTTCACAGGACATATCCTGAAGTCTTCTCAAA